TTTAGAGTGTGTCAGGATGGATCCCTTGTCCTTTTTTCTGCAAACAAAATCTACCTACGGGTACAAATAAAGAACCTGAACCTGAAGGTTTTTCATCTTCTGTCTAATGTTATGTTGGTGTCTCGTTTCGGTCATAACGCCATTTGCTGGTTTCAGAATGATCTAACCGACCGTACTCAATGCGTCAGGTGGGGTAGTACTGTCTCTGAGCCTTTCACCTTGGAGAAGGGAGTTCCACAGGGCTCTAATTTGGGGCCCTTGCTCTTTTTATTATACGTAAACAATATTTGTAATCAGATGCAATTTTCTCTATCATATTTATGCTGATGGCACTATTGTATACTCATGTGCTCCTTCTCTGGATATGGCCGTTTCCAATTTAAAATCTGATTGTATTGTTAGGACGGGTGGCGCAGTGGTCTTTGCATCCGATCATCAGATCAAGGGGGAGTGTTGGGGAACTCCAGTTCGAAACCAGCTCCTGCCGCCACTGCGTCAGGCCGTTGTGTCCTTGGGCAAGACACTTCACCCGGATTTGCTCCTGTGGGTATTGTCCACAGAACATCTATAATACCAATGTGTACCTGTAAAAGCGCCTCGATGTCTTCGAGGCGTGAAGATGGACGGTGTGGCGCAGTGCGCTGTGCAATGATCATCAGATCAAGGGGTGAAACCCGCCGCTGCTGCTTCTGTAAAGCCGGTGTGTCCTTGGGCAAGACACTTCACCTGAACTTGCTCCTGTGGGTATTGTCCACAGTATCTGACCATTGCATGTATCATATATGTGTAATGTGTGTATATGTAAAGCGCTTTGAGTCATTGATAAAGCGCTATAATAAATGTAAGGAATTATTATCACGCTGCAGCATGCGCTTCTTGATTCTAAACTGCTATTGAACGGTAAGAAAACCAAATCAATGCTTTTTGCTCCCAAGTCAGCGTCCTCTTGCCTCTCCATTGACACCCTTGCTGTTGTCTCTGTTGAGTTTGTTGATACATACAAATATCTGGGCTTTTAGTTGGACAGAAATCTAAACTTTAAACACCACATTGAAGTTCTAACTAAGAAATTGAAATTCACTCTTGGCTTCCTTTACAGACTTAAACGTTGTTTTTCAACATCTTCCCGTAAAAGGTTGCTTATTCCTGTCTCAGCGTGACTACAGTGATACAATCTATAGATTTGCCTGTCCCACTGTTTTGGCCAAACATGACCCACTCTACCATGCTGCACTGCAATACATATCAAATGCACCCTATAGGACTCATCATTGCACACTGTATAGCCTAACTGGATGGTCCTCACTTAGTATGGGTAGGATGCAGCATTGGTTTTTATTAATGTATAAAGCCATTTTAGGTAAGCTTCCACTGTATATATGTGCCAGATTTGCTCCAGTTTGTGACTCTTACAACCTCAGACCCAGTGCCTGGATACGGTTCCAGGTTCCTGCCATGTGGACTGAGGCTGGAAAAAGGAGTCTTTTTTATTATGGTCCTTGGTCTTGGAATGACCTTCAATCAAGCCTCAAACTGATGGCTCTTGTCCCTATAGCCTGTTTTAAATTGAAGGTGTCTGAGGTCCTTACCACCAGCTGCTCTTACAGTAATAAGTAGTGTACCTTTCTTACTGTCCCAAATGTGCACAATGAAGTGACTGCTTTTCGTCTTTTGTTGTGTTCTCTGTATTTTATATGTTTGTGTTATGTGTAAGAACATGTAACGTTGCTGCCTTCTTGGCCAGGTCAGCATTGTAAATGAGATTTGTCTCAATGTTTTCATCTGGTTAAATTAAGGTTAAATAAATCAAAACAATTTGTTATAAAGCCATGGAAAGAGATGCACAATGCAACTTAGAGACTAAGTGACCAAAGAGAGAGGAGAAAATAGACGCAACAAGTCCACAAAGAAATGCAAAATGATGAGAAAGAGGCATGACGCCACAAAGAAGTGCTAAATTACTTCATAAAGAGGCAAAACAACTACAAAGAGACCCAGACAGACTCTAGATTGTTATACAGGGCGACTGCAAAGCGATAAAGACTCACAAGAGAACTTTGCTCCGATGAAGAAGGGACTTTTATGTCACTGTATCTCAGATTCTGTGCATGATGTGAAAGATTCAAATGTCTTTACATACTCCTATTTCGACTCAAGAGGGCAGCATTGTTGTTTTTTCATGCAGATGTAACACAGACAACTCTCAGAGAAGATTTGTTGGCCTTGATGCACAATTATCCAGTTTTTAAATAAGGTTATTGCTGGTTTTACTGCTGGTACTGGTAGTCTACATCCAGGGTGAGATACCGATTTGAGTCTACAGGGAGTGCATTAACCAGCCTTTACATAAATAGGGTTAGTTTAGTTTAATGTTCAAACTGTTCTTCATATAAAATAGTTTGCATTCAGTAGCTATGTTTTATTTCTCTGTCTCGAAGCTGAAGTGGATTTGAAATGAAAGTCACTCCCACCACCAAGAGCTGAAGATGCATGAAGTGACTGCTGTATGGGAGCTAATGTCGGCCTCATAGAGTCATACAAGAACCTCCCTCGTATGAAACAGCGTACAGAGTGCTGAGCTGTGACCTGACCTGAGGTTCTGATACGCACCACCGGCACAGACGCACAGAAACTACATGAGCCCCAGTCAGAGGGGAAGTGAAACTCAAATGTTCCCCTTTCCTAATACAGATGTTCAATTATATACATAGTCACTAAGAAAAAAAGGCCATCTCTGATGAGAGATTAATGTAAAACAGGATCTACAGTGTGACACTATGTGACTAGTACTGTGTTGCACATTTATTAACCAGGCAATACATTAAATGCATAGATCAGGGGTGTCTTGTACATTTGAATTGGCCCTCATCGAATTCTAAAAGTATAATGGAATATGGCCCACACCTAAAACTTCATCTTGTCTTATAATATACTTCTTCAATATATATGTTGACATATATTACACAGTAGTATTCATGTGGCAATAAACCCACTTTTCAAATACATTTAAGTTGAAAACATTTCCTAACAAATCTTAGTTGATAAAAAAAAGCCCAATAAGTTATTTGCATAACAAGCTTGAAATATATACTTCATATTTCCCCTTATCTTAAGCAATCTGAGGCTTCTGTTTTAAGGAATGAGCTGCCAACACTTGTTATAACAAAATAAATGAAACCCTATGGAGAGCTGTGCGCTTTTTTACTTAAATCATATTCAGGTAACAAACATCATTTACATTTGATTGATTTAACTTATAACTTAATTTATGAGGCAAAATACCTCACCTCTAGTGAGTGGCCCAGCCCTTTGTATGTGTTTCTCTATGTGGCCCCTCATTGAGGTAAAATCATTCAGTCTTGACAGACCTGTTAGATATTAGATGTCTCTCTGTTGCATGGCATGCTGTGTCTCTATTCAGTGGATTTGATAACAAGAAGGGACATCCTAGTGAATCAAACACTCAGTGGATATTGAGTTCAATGTAGATCGATTTGCCAGCGGGGGAACTGTTAAACTGTTCATGAGATACTTCAGAAAGAAGTGGAAACAAGGAAAGATGTTTGCAGAGAAAAGAACGTACCTAGAAGAGCATTACCCTCACATTTCAGAGTGACTCTGAATGACCAAATGATGTTCAAGAGATGTTAAACCGTAACTAAAACTCACCTCAACTGCATTTTGGTTCCTCAAGGACAGGTGTCTGTTTGACGTGTGACATGTCATTTGCATGATTGTAATGCTTCACTGCTCCTCACAGTTTTAAGGTCTTGAGTCACGTAGAGTCTGAACCGTGTTCCTGCACTCATCCTGAGAACTGGAGATCATGTTGTCAGTAACTCTGCTTGTCATGTTGGGCTTTCTGTGTCAGGGTGAGAGACTTTGAAAATGTATCATCTGAAATGATAGGAGTAATGTATGTGTGGTTCAATGTGTGTCTTTGCTTTTCATGTTTGCATCCAATGTGCTTTGTCTTTAACTCTTTCTATTATCATTTAAACTGCTGCTCCATGTTGTTGGTTATCTAACATTTCACTTCTCATTTCAGAGTCTTCTGCCAACAAGTTCCTGACTCAGACTGACTCATCCAAGTCTGTTAGTGCTGGAGGGACTGTGACCATCAGCGCTACAGGGAGCTCAGATATTGGTGCTGATCTCAGTTGGTATCTTCAGAAACCTGGACAGGCTCCTAAACTTCTTATATACTCATCATCAACTCTGTTCTCTGGAACTGAACCTAGATTCAGTGGTACTAGATCTGGTGCTCAGTACACTTTAACCATCAGTAACGTTAAGGATGTTGATGCAGGAGATTACTATTGTCTGGGCTACCATGGTGGTGGCACGTTCACACAGTGATTTAGAGCCGTACAAAAACCTCCTTCAGTCTCAAGTAAAGCGTCCTGCTGCAGCTGCAGGTGAAGAGACTGAGAGGAGGAGAACTGGTCCAGTGAACACAAGAGTCATCAAGCAGAACCACCATGAATACAAATAAAGCTGACTCTCTTCAGTTCTTGATGACTAAACTGGGATGGTTAGATTATTGTTCGCCACTGATATCAAATTAAATGTAAACATATCTCTACTAAAACCTGCATAACATAAAGTAATCTCTGACACAGACCACTGAACGCTGAGTAGAGAGGAACTTCACCAAACACTAACTATTCATACTAATATGTTGAATTAAACAATGCTTAGAAATAAAGGACTCTACTCTTAGCCTGGAGAAAAATCTATGCCTGATATTATATTTGAGCCGTCCTCTCAGCCTCACTAAAAATTAAGTTCACGTTAGCATCAAATACTTAATCACGATAAAACGGTTTAATATCATTTTCTTCACTACTAAGTCACTTTCATTGAAAATGTTATAGATATGAAACTTAAATAATGTTCTAAACTAATCCAAAGCTTTATCTTGTTCTGCTGATAGAAGTGCAGAATGTTATAAAACCTTTTAATGTATTACTACTTTAAATAAAACACCAAACACTTCATCATGTTATTTATCAGAGAAAGCTTTATTAGGAACATCCTGAATCATCAACAAGACAGTTACTAAGCACACTCTCATCTCTGCTGAGCTTCACACATCACTCTCTAAGTTGCTGCTGTCCAACACTTTACAGCAGTGTTGTTCTCGGCCACACAAAGCTTCACTTTCCTCTACAAACATTAAAGCTCCTGATGATCAGAGCAGCATGTGTTCTCCTGGGCTCCAGCGGCCCCTCTAGCCCCCACACTGGCTCCTGTGGAGGGACTGGGTCTGGCTGTGGGCATGATGGAGGACCTTGCAGGAGTACAGCTCTCCTGACATCCAGCTCTCCTGGCTCAGGCTCAGGCTGCTGCTGCTGCTGTAGCGTCCGCTCTTCTCCTCCTCCGAGCTGCTCAGGACCCCCTCTGTCACCTGTGTGCCGTCCACCTCCCAGCTCACCACGGCTCCCTGAGGAGAGTAGCCGGTCAGCAGGCAGGCCAGCGTGAGCGAGCCCCCAGAGAGCTGCTCAGAGGAGGAGGGAGCCAGCAGAGAGACGGAGGGCCTGAGCATGGAGCCCGCTGCAGGGGAGAGAGACACAAGGAGCAGATTAACTTCCACTGAGGGACAGACGCTGTGAGACAGAGTCCATACAGGACACATTCAAACATTCAAAGGCTTTACTGTCATATGCACAGTAGCTGCAGTGAATCAGAACCAGAGTCAGAATACCTTTAGTAGTCCCTCAGAGGGGACATTCACGCTGTTACAGCAGAAAAGAGCCAGAGACAGCTTCATGTTACGTAGAAGCATGCATACAAAAGTATTCAAGTAAAAAAAAGTTATAATAAAAAGTTACACAATTTACAAAATACACATCCTGTAACAGTTCTGAGGATTTAGCAGCCAGGTATATATTGCACATATTGCACATATTGCACATAGGCGATGTAGATAAGGCAATGAAAAGCCCAAGGTTCCTCCAACAATGCAACATACAAATATGTAGGACATAAAACTATAAAACATATTTTAAAAACATTCAAATAGTTCCAGAACAAACAGAACGAGGAAGGAAATGAGGGTTTAATAAATAAAATAAAATGTTAAACTTGACGTTTGGAGTCAGAGTGTTATTCTGTAGCTCTCATCAGAACAAGAATTATACATTGAAGGTACAGGACAGAGAAAGTGGGGGTCAGCTGTGAGCATGAGCTGTGATCACAAGAGGAGCTGAGGCATGGGAGAACACGAGGGTTTCATTCATAAAATCAAACGGTGATACTTTATATCATTCTGGCATTTAAAATAATGAATCTTCTTCTTTGGCACTCATCAAAACTCCTGAAGAGTTACATGAAAGTAAGCAACGTAATGAAGGTGTTCATGTAATGATCATTATATGAAAAGCTTTATCTCTGCTTTACAATGTTTCAGAATGAATAACTCATCTCTGAAATCATTTACTGTTCAGAAAAACAAAAAGTAACATCTCATACAGTTGAAGACTTTGTCATCTGTTTGTTTCACTTCCTTTGAACTCTTTTAAACTAACGGACTGTGAACGCACCCTGCAGCGACTCTGAACGTACAAAAACACACTTTAATGTGTTTTAACGGATCCTAAGCAGATTTTATATGAAACACTTGTTGAATGTTAAAATGTATAACAATTAAAAAGTAAATCACAATTAGATGTTATGACAGAGCAGCTGTTCTTTGGTCAATTGTGAGCTAAAAATGTTTTTATATCTTATTAGAAAAGAAAAGTAAAACGTACATATAATTCACCGTAACATCTTCTTTAATATTACAATAAAACTAACTTTCCTTAATGTTTTCAATTCTTCAGACAAGCTTTATAGATTTAAAAAATATCAACATAATGTAAATTATCCAAAATAATGTCTTGATTTATCAAATTCTGATGTAAAAGTAAATGTAATGTTTTCTTTTCTGTGTTAGAAAATACAAATCTCTGGTACTTACAGTGAACGATGAGTTTGGTTCCTCCACCAAAAGTCCACCACAGTGATACAAACTCATTGAGTGGCCGTACAAAAACCTCCTGCACTGTCAGCAAGCATGTATCACTGAGAAAGCTCCCTGATCTCACTGATAACAGAGACACATATACAGTTTTTAAATCAACAAAGCTTTTCTAAAGATATGGATTACATCTCTGGAAGAATTAAGATGATTTATGTCATTTCTCATCACTTTTCTACACCTGGCAGAGAAACCATTACAGTCTTCTACACAACTAACTTTGTCAGTTTTATATTAGTTTCTACACGGTTAAATGAACACGAGGCTTTTCAATAATAGTTATTAACAAATGTATTTGAATCAGAACTGAAACATGTTATTGATCTACAGTGAATCTCTGTATGTATGTTAATGTCAGACAAACAGACATATCATACCAACCACAGTGGACACAAACTCAAATCCTCATCTCCACTCCTGATATAAATATGTTCTTCCATTCAGATGATAGACGGTGTAAATCCAGACAGTGTTCCTCCTGGTTTCGTGTCCCACGTTGCCTTCAGTGTGCTGAGAGCAGAGACATCATTTGCATAGAGAGGAGGCTTTGCATGGTCAGCTGATCCTCCAGTGAACTGAGAAGGTTTATAGTCCTGTGAGTTCAACACTGCAGGACTCACATGTGTCAGTCAGCAGAAAGCACCATGACTCTCATCACCATCCTCATCTGGACGCTGGCCTGCTGCTGTTTCACAGGTTCATTCACTCAGCAACATTTCAAACATCATGTGCTGCCTTTCCTCTCCTTTCTTTCTGCTGAGAAATCAATGATCTGTTTCTGTGTGCAGGATGCAGCGGTCAGACTGTGACTGTGACTCAGCCTGCAGTCGAGACGTCTGCTCCAGGATCCACCGTCACTCTCACCTGTAGAACCAACAAAAATGTTAACGGTAATAATTTTATGTTCTGGTATCAACAGAAATCTGGACAGCCTCCAAAGCTCCTGATAAAATATGCGAGCCAACTTGAATCAGGAACAGAACCTCGGTTTAGTGGCAGTGGAAGCGGCTCTGACTTCTCTATGACCATCACTGGACTGAAGGCTGAAGATGCAGCAGTTTATTACTGTCAGAGTTACCACTACATAAACAGTGTTAATCTGTTCACACAGTGATTTGTCGTCGTACAAAAACCTCCCTCAGTCAGACTGCAGAGACTCTGAGCTGTTACAGCAGGAACCACCTGCAGCTGCTGAAGAGGAAGAGACTGACACAGCCCACTGAACTCAGAGCTGACAGGAACCCACCCAGCACTATTCACTTCTTATTCTTAAATATACATAATCTTACTACTCATTGAGATTAAACCCAGTTCAAAAACACATTTGATGTAAAAACAGCATTTCACACAAACCATATTATGATCTCTGCTTCTCACTCCAAAGTATTATTGTAACTATTTACATTTAGGAGCAAGGCAGCTTTAGTTTTTCTCAGCTGTTGGGGCTCCATTATCTCCCTGACCTCAGATCAGACTGATATGATCTCTGTCTCCATCAGTGTTGCAATTCCTATTTCAGAAAATCATGTTTTTTTTAACTTATTTCTTTATTTTGAAACCTCCTACCCCAAAACCAATCACAGTGTTGCTCTCATTACTGAGCCGAAAACAAATGAGCTTTTAACTCTCAAGCCATAGAGTTCAGACGAGCTACTGACTGTTCTAGCATCCTTGCTACCAATTGACCGATCCCAAATGTTTTTTGTACATTTCAAGACAATCTTTCTTTTATGGCAGCCAAAAATAACCCAGAGACATTTGTCCACATGTCCCAACACATTCTCACTCCCAACCCGTCACATATTGACGGACGGTCAGGGCCCCTCCCCATCACTCTATTACGTACAGGTACACCTTGGAAGTCAGTTTTCAACGGGCAGGGCGTCCCATTGACTTGCATAGAACTCCCATAGCGTTGATAATAGACGCCATGAGAACGCTCCCCGTCAAATGCTACCCCGACGGTCGGTTGTTATTGTTAACACTTAAATGTTCAAATGTAAAACAATTCAAATGCAAATCACAATTAGATGTTATGACAGAGCAGCTGTTCTTTGGTCAATTATGAGCTAAAAATGTGTTTATATCTTATTAAAAAATTAAATTAAAACATACATATAATTCACCGTAACATCTTCTTTAGTAACAAACACCATGTTCGAACATAAGGATGCTCATAAGTGTACGTGGTACCAGAGCACCCTAGGCAGAAGGTCCATGATCAATTTCGTTATCGTATCATCGGACCTGAGGCCGTATGTTTTGGACACTCGGGTAAAGAGAGGGGCGGAGTTGTCAACTGATCACCATCTGGTGGTGAGTTGGGTCGAGTGGCGGGGGAAGCCTCTGGATAGACCTGGTAAGCCCAAACGTGTAGTTCGGGTGAACTGGGAACGTCTGGAGGAGGCCCAAGTTCAGGAGGCCTTCAACTCACACCTCCGGCGGAGCTTTTCGGGCATTCCTGTGGAGGTTGGGGACATTGAACCAGAGTGGTCGGTGTTCAAAGCCTCTATTGCCGAAGCCGCGGCGGGGAGCTGTGGTCTCAAGGTCCTAGGTGCCTCAAGGGGCGGTAACCCTCGAACCTCCTGGTGGACACCGGTGGTCAGGGAAGCCGTCCGACTGAAGAAGGAGGCCTTCAGGGATTTGTTATCCCGGGGGACTCCCGAGGCAGTTGCAAGGTACCGACAGGCCCGAAGGGCAGCAGCCTCATCCGTGGCCGAGGCAAAGCAGCGGGTGTGGGAGAAGTTCGGAGAAGACATGGAGAAGGACTTTCGGGCGGCACCAAAGTTGTTCTGTTTTTGTAACTCCGCCCTCTATGTTAGAGGCAGAGCTGGAGTATGACGGGGGATCCACACCAATCTCCCGGGGGGATGTCACTGAGGTCGTCAAACAACTCCACAGTGGCAAAGCCCCGGGGGTGGATGAGATCCGCCCGGAAATGCTGAAGGCTCTGGGGGTTGAGGGACTGTCATGGTTGACACGTCTCATCAACGTTGCGTGGAAGTCGGAAACAGTACCGAAGGAGTGGCAGACCGGGGTGGTGGTTCCCCTTTTTAAAAAGGGGGATCAGAGGGTGTGTGCCAATTACAGAGGCATCACACTACTCAGCCTCCCCGGGAAAGTTTACTCTAAGGTACTCGAAAGGAGGGTCAGGCCGATTGTCGAACCTCAGATTGAGGAGGAACAATGCGGATTCCGTCCTGGTCGTGGAACGACGGATCAGCTTTTTACTCTCGCAAGGATCCTGGAGGGGGCCTGGGAGTACGCTTATCCGGTCTACATGTGTTTTGTAGACTTGGAGAAGGCGTATGACCGAGTTCCCAGGGAGTTACTTTGGGAGGTGCTGCGGGAGTATGGGGTGAGGGGGTCTCTACTCAGGGCCATCCAATCTCTGTACTCCCAAAGCGAGAGCTGTGTCCGGGTCCTCGGCAGTAAGTCGGACACATTTCCGGTGAGGGTTGGCCTCCGCCAGGGCTGCGCTTTGTCACCAATCCTGTTTGTAATATACATGGATCGGATTTCGAGGCGTAGTCGTGGGGGAGGGGGTCTGCAGTTCGGTGGACTAAGGATTGCACCACTGCTTTTTGCAGATGATGTGGTTCTAATGGCTTCATCGGTCTGCGACCTTCAGCACTCACTGGATCGGTTCGCAACCGAGTGTGAAGCGGCTGGGATGAGGATCAGCACCTCCAAATCTGAGGCCATGGTTCTCAGCAGGAAACCGATGGACTGTCCACTTCAAGTAGGGAATGAGTCCTTACCCCAAGTGAAGGAGTTCAAGTATCTCGGGGTCTTGTTCTCGAGTGAGGGAACAATGGAGCGTGAGATGGGCCGGAGAATCGGAGCAGCGGGAGCGGTACTGCAGTCGCTTTACCGCACCGTTGTGACGAAAAGGGAGCTGAGCCAGAAGGCAAAGCTCTCTGTCTACCGGGCCATTTTCGTTCCTACCCTCACCTATGGTCATGAAGGATGGGTCATGACCGAAAGAACGAGATCGCGGATACAAGCGGCCGAGATGGGTTTTCTCCGCAGGGTGGCTGGTGTCTCCCTTAGGGATAAGGTGAGAAGTTCGGTCATCAGGGAGGGACTCGGAGTTGAGCCGCTCCTCCTTCGCGTCGAAAGGAGCCAGTTGAGGTGGTTCGGGCACCTAGTTAGGATGCCACCTGGGCGCCTCCCTAGGGAGGTGTTCCAGGCACGTCCAGCTGGGAAGAGACCAAGGGGTAGACCTAGGACCAGGTCGAGGGATTATATCTCTTCGCTGGCCTGGGAGCGCCTTGGGATCCCCCAGTCAGAGCTGGTTGATGTCGCCAGGGAAAAGAAAGTTTGGGGCTCTCTGCTGGAACTGCTACCCCCGCGACCCGACCACGGATAAGCGGGAGAAGATGGATGGATGGATGGATCTTCTTTAATATTAAATAAAACTAACTTCGCTTAATGTTTTTAAATTCTTCAGACAAGCTTTATTTATGTAAAAAAATATCAACATACTGTAATGTATATTATCCAAAATAATGTCTTGATTCATCATATTCTGATGCAAAAGTAAATGTAATGTTTTATGTGTTAGAAAATACAAATCTCTGGTACTTACAGTGAACGATTAGTTTGGTTCCTCATTCCTTGAACTCAGAGCTGACAGGAACCCAGCACTAAAACACACTGACACTAAAACAATCAGCACAATGACATGTGTTCTGGTTATAAACCTTCCTAAGACTTCTAAAATCTCATTTAAATTGCATAATGCTGAAACTCCCAATGATGCGTATTGTTATGGATCCTTTTGAAAAGCACTGTTCAAAAGTATTGCTTCTACATCCACTATATTATATATAACTTATACATGTTTGACCTCACACATGATTATAAAATAATAGATCAAAAAATAAAGTAGTTAAATCATCATTTAAAAACTAATATCATTGTAAATAACATTAAGTACTAGAAACGTATAGACTTTCACATAGGTACGTTTTTGAATGTAATACTTTCAATATTAAAGGCAGAGGTGTGAATTAACTCAGTACATTTACTTAAGTAGGGCATTTAAGTACACTTTTGAGATACGTGTACTTCACTTGAGTGTTTCAATTTTTTGCTACGTTGCACTTCTACTCCACTACAATTCAGAGGTATATGGTGTACTTTTACTCCACTATACATGTATGTATTTAATACCTTTAGTTACTTTACAGATTTGGATGAATGATTAACTCTTAAATCTTTAGTTCCATCTGGAGTAAATTCACAAGCTACCCTGCAGTATACAAAGTCCTTCAAACTAGATGCACCTTTACCAGCTTTGAGAACACTTTAATGATCAATCATTATAAATGTATATATTATTCTGAAATGGACCAATCTGCACAATGACTACTTTTACTTTTGGTACATTAACTATATTTTGTTGCTAATACTTTTCTACTTTTACTTGAGTAACAGTTTGAATGCAGGACTTGTTCTTATAACAGAGTATTCCTACACTCTGGTACTTCTACTTTTACTTATGTACAATATCTGAGTACTTCTACTTTTACTCAAGTACAAGATCTGAGTACTTCTACTTTTACTCAAGTACAAGATCTGAGTACTTCTACTTTTACTCAAGTACAAGATCTGAGTACTTCTACTTTTACTCAAGTACAAGATCTCTGATTAAAGGCCATGTTCTTGTGGCCATCTCTCTTTTGGTAGTTATTTCGCTTAAATCCACAAGAGGGCAGTGCTGATCAAAAGTAGCAACACTCTTGTAAATAACCACTCTGTTGCATGCATCCAAAAGCTTGCCTAAAAGCAGGATATGCAAACCGCGCATACAGTAGCCAATAAACTCAACTCATTAAGCAGAATTGCACATTTAAGAATAATTAATGTAACCGTGGAGTAGATTTACTAAGTAGCAGGAAATACAAAAAAAGCAGAACTGTCGTATTAAATAGTTCTTTGGGGAAGTTGATCTTTGAAACAAGAAAATCACGAGCACCCAACCCTCCCCCTCTTCATGAGTCATGACTGATTGTATTTTCTGTTCCTGCATCTGTTGCATGTTGTGTCGGATAATGCGCAGTCACTTCTCTCCTTAAAAGTCTGAAAATGAGCGATCAGAGAAAAAACGCGCTAAAAACAATACTCCAGCTGACGTGCCAACTTTTCTGGGTATGTAAGACTCGTTTGTGTTTCCTGTCGATACATATTGCCAATGATCACATCAGTTTGACGCAGTTATTGCTGAAGTAATGTTCGTCTTTTTGGGATAAAGCAAAGAGAAGTCTCCTCTGTGTTTAAATAAGACTCACATGTCACATGATACAACAGTGTGTGTGTGTGTGTGTGTGTGTGTGTGTGCGTGTGCGTGCGTGTGTGTGTGTGTGTGTGTGTGTGTGTGTGTGTGTGTGTGTGTGTGTGTGTGTGTGTGTGTGTGTGTGTGTGTGTGTGTGGTCTAGCATTACTATACTTGTGGGGACCTAAATCTGTTTACATAGTCACGTGTGGGGACTGGCTTCCCTTTTGGGGACAAATTGGAGGTCCCCATGAGGGGAATCATTCATTTTAGGGTGAAGACTTGGTTAGGTTTAGGATTAGGGTTAGGGTAAGGGTTAGGGTTAGGCATGTGTTGGTTATGGTTAAGGTAAGGATAAGTCTCCAGGAAATGCATGTAAGTCAATGTAATGTCCCCTGAAGTGATGTATACATGGTGTGTGTGTGTGTGTGTGTGTGTGTGTGTGTGTGTGTGTGTGTGTGTGTGTGTGTGTGTGTGTGTGTGTGTGTGTGTGTGTGTGTGTGTGTGTGTGTGTGTGCTACCACTGGCTCAGATAATGAAGAACAACAACATAAGTTACCATAGCTATGCAGATGACACACAAATGTACGTAACAATTTCACCAGGAGACTATGCTCCAATTCAAACACTGAGTAAGTGCATTGAACAAATCAATGACTGGATGTGTCAGAACTTTCTCCAATTAAACAAAGATAAAACTGAGGTAATGGTTTTTGGAGCCAAGGCAGAACGTATAAAAGTTAGCGCTGAGCTTCAGTGTGCAATGTTCAAAACAACAGATAAAACCAGAAATCTAGGTGTAGTCATGGACTCTGACCTGAGTTTCAACAGTCACATTAAAACAGTTACTAAATCAGCCTACTATCACCTAAAGAATATATCTAGGATTAAAAGACTAATGTCACAGCAGGATTTGGAAAAACTTGTCCATGCTTTTATCTTCAGTAGACTGGACTACTGCAATGGTGTCTTCACAGGTCTCACTAAAAAATCTATTAGGAAGCTGCAGCTGATTCAGAACGCCGCTGCTCGAGTCCTCACTAATACTAAGAAAGTGAATCACATCACTCCTGTTCTGAAGTCTTTACACTAGCTTCCTGTGTGTCAAAGAATAGATTTCAAAATACTGCTGCTGGTTTATAAAGCACTGAATGGTTTAGGCCCAAAATACATTTCTGACCTCCTGCTAAATTATGAACCATCCAGATCTCTCAGGTCTTCAGGGACTGGTCAGCTTTCTGTCCCCAGAGTCAGAACTAAACATGGAGAAGCAGCGCTCAGTTATTATGCTCCAAATATCTGGAACAAACTCCCAGAAACCTGCAGGTCCGCTGCAACTCTGACTACTTTTAAATCCAGGCTGAAGACTTTTCTTTTTGTCGCTGCTTTTAATTGAACTATTCATATCTTAGACTGCACTGTAACTTTTATCCATGTATTTTTTCTTTTAATGTTTATTTTATTAGCTTTTCTTTTTAATGACTGATTTTAAATGCCATTTTCTTAATCTCTTTCATTTTTTGTAAAGCACTTTGAATTGCCTTGTGTTGAAAAGTGCTATATAAATAAACTTGCCTTGCCTTGCCTTGCCTTGTGTGTGTGTGTGTGTGTGTGTGTGTGTGTGTGTGTGTGTGTGTGTGTGTGTGTGTGTGTGTGTGTGTGTGTGTGTGTGTGTGTGTGTGTGTGTGTGTGTGTGTGTGTGTGTGTGTGTGTGTGTGTGTGTGTGTGTGTGTGTGTGTGTGTGTGTGTGTGTGTGTGTGTTTACAGGAAATAAGTAGGAGTGTGTATGTTCTCATTTATTTTTATTTGACCTTAAACATCTATTTTGTATAAACTACTTTAGGCTACTACTCCATTACATAACTGGAAGTGTATTTTCGGCTATGTTTAGGTTTTCTCTTTTTATAATTTCCATATTGTTTTCATTTCCTTCTTGACATGTTACTCAGTCATATTGTAATAATTCAATAAGGTTATGTGCTGACTAACTGTGTTTTTGCTAAATTAGTTATTTTCAAGTAGAGTTTTAAGTTTTACAATTTCCCTCTTTCTGTTTTACTTTTCTTTTGGCTAAAGTATTATGCAGAACTATGAGATGTTTTAAGAGACTATAAATATTCCATTACATTTATAATCAGCTTTAATGGCCAAGTACACATACATACTTTGTATAAAAATCTAATTTCTCTTTAACCTTTGAGAGCGTACAGGTGTTGATATAGAGTAGGGGTGTCCAAACTACGGCCCGGGGGCCAAATGCGGCCCGCGGACCATTTTGAATCGGCCTCGGCAAATTCAAAAAGTATAATGGAATATGGCCCACAAATGAAACTTGTGCTTGTATTATATTATTACGGTGGCCCTGAAGTGCAAGACACCACAGCATTTCACAAAATGCCGCAGCATTTCACAAAATGCCGCAGCATTTCACAAAACACTACAGCATTTCACAAAACGCCACAGCGTTTCACAAAACGCCACAGCATTTCACAAAACGCCACAGCATTTCACAAAACACCACAGCATTTCACAAAACGCCGCAGCATTTCACAAAACACCACAGCATTTCACAAAACACCACAGCATTTCACAAAACGCCGCAGCATTTCACAAAACACCACAGCATTTCAGAAAACACCACAGCATTTCACAAAACACCGCAGCATTTCACAAAACGCCGCAGCATTTCACAAAATGCCATAGCATTTCAGAAAACGCTGCAGCATTTCACAAAACGCCGCAGCATTTCAGAAAACACCACAGCATTTCAGAAAACACCACAGCATTTCAGAAAACACCACAGCATTTCAGAAAACACCACAGCATTTCATATTGGACGGAAAGGGTATTCCTTAGGGAGAACACTTCTTGTTTGTGATTGGACAGAGCCAGCCATAGAGGCACTGCTGTGATTGGTTGTTTTTGCTGCCAGTCAAGAAATGACGCTGCGTGATTGGCCCAACACATCAGCCGTTAGCTGTTAGCACACACTCAGAGCTCACAGCTCCTCATATCTGTTCAGAAACTGGACAAAAGTTAAACATGTACAAAACACAGACTGTCTATGTCATTTCGAATACAGTCGCTGCTTTATGTATGTCTGTATGACGTTGTTGTGAGTGTGGACGGAGCAGCTACAGGTTAGTTTAGCCTGATCGATCAATGGACAGCTTCCCCCCCCCCCCCCCCCCCCTATACTCGCATTTTAGACTCTGTTACTAACTGTATATCTGTAGACTTGGTATGTCTTAAATGTCCGGTTAGGATGTATTAGAACGAAATCTAAAATGTAAATTGTAAATAAGCCATCTGTATGTCAAATATGTCTTATATGTCTTAAATGACATGATGAATTGGAAATGGGGGACCCTGATGTAAACAAGACGAAAGTCTTTCTCTGGTCTGGATCCCCTTAACAATTGTATGTTTTGAGCTGTATGCTACTGTACTGTACCCAATATACAAGCTGTTAATAAACTTTTCAATCAATCAATCAATCAATCCGATTCCGATAGGATTTACATGGAGATACTGCCCGCCCCCAGAATTAAACACAGAATTAATGCTTTATTAATTCATGGTTTTTAAGGGGCTTATCTCCATGTAAATACTATGGTAGACCACCCAATATTCGCATCGCTCTAATCGCTCGAGTTTCACCGCGGCTGTCAGCTGTGTTTGCTCCTGTCATTCAAACAAGAGGCGCTGGAGAAGTAAATTATATGGGAGATACCAACTACAACAAAATGAACATATTTGACCGTGATTTAATTGTAATACACGTTTCAAAGTGATGCCGAAGTAACTACATACTGATAACGGTTAGTAAAAACCATGAATTAACGCTTTGACAAGTCTGCAGATAAGACGGCAGGCGAAAAGCTTTTAAAATGCGTGTTTTCGGAATGGAATCGGATCCATCAGGCTAAACTAACCTGTTGCTGCTCCGTCCACACTCACAACAACGTCATACAGACATAAATAAAGCAGCGACTGTATTCGCCATGACATAGACAGTCTGTGGTTTGTACATGTTTAACTTGTGTCCAGTTTCTGAACAGATATGAGGAGCTGTGAGCTCTGAGTGTGTGCTAACGGCTGATGTGTTGGGACATATTTCGCTGTCGGGTGTTGACCAATCACGAAGCGTCATTTCTTGACTGGCAGCAAAAACAACCAATCACAGCAGTGCTTCTCTGGCTGGCTCTGTCCAATCACAAACAAGAAGTGTTCTCCCTAAAGGATTACCCTTTCCGTCCAATGTGAAATGCTGTGGTGTTTTCTGAAATGCTGTTGTGTTTTCTGAAATGCTGTTGTGTTTTCTGAAATGCTGTTGTGTTTTGTGAAATGCTGTGGTGTTTTCTGAAATGCTGTGGTGTTTTCTGAAATGCTGCGGCGTTTTGTGAAATGCTGTTGTGTTTTCTGAAATGCTGTTGTGTTTTGTGAAATGCTGTTGTGTTTTCTGAAATGCTGCGGCGTTTTGTGAAATGCTGTGGTGTTTTCTGAAATGCTGTTGTGTTTTCTGAAATGCTGTTGTGTTTTGTGAAATGCTGTGGTGTTTTCTGAAATGCTGTTGTGTTTTCTGAAATGCTGTGGT